GTTTTCGCTAAATTTTGGCATGAAGATTTCCTTTAAAATATACTTGGAAAGACGTTTGGATAGCCTTGTAAACGACCGTACACGTTGTTTTTTTAATGTTCAGTTAGAAGTAAAGTTATTGAAATTTTGAAATGAATTGAAATAAAAAAATTGGGCATTCTGAAATTTTATATTTGTGGTTTTAGATATCATAAGTCATATATAAGGCTTGCTTAATTAAAATTTTAGAACAAGAAACTATTTTTTTTTTTTATCTGAAAAGTAATAGCTTTTATTAACCTTTTATTGAATAGTAAATAGTGGTGTGTAGATAATGTTGAAAGTTTTGGTATAAGTTAATTTGTATCAGTTTTTTTACTGGAGTAAGCGGATTTATTTAGTATTTAGTGTTTGGGATTTATTTAGTATTTAGTGTTTCTACTAGAAGCAGAACATCAAATATTCGCTATCTAGTTGGGAGTTCTTTCTGAAGCGTATTTATTCCGCCTAGCGCCTGGACCGGATCGTAGATTGTTGAAATTATTTCGGGTATGACCTTTCCGTTTCCGTCGTTGGATTCGTTTACCAGCTGCTTTGTAAGTCTTAAGAGGCCATCAAGGAAAAGTCAAGCTTTCTCTGCACTGTTTCGATAGCAATAGTCATTGTTATTTTATTTGAACTGTATCACACTAGTGACCATCATGACGATCTCTGCTTGAAGCGAAATGTAGTGCGGAAGAAATTGTAATAACACGAACAGTAAATGTTACTGCTGAAAAGTTTATTTTCTTCACCAGAAATTGACAATTTGATTTAAATGCTCACATTAGTCACTGGGTTACCTCGAAAACATTGAAATGTTAAATACTTTTAATATAAAGAAAAATTAAATAAAATCAATACAGAAAAGCAAAACCAAACGAAAATAGCAATAGACGTAACTAATGAAGCAAAAAAAAAAACCGACAACTCAAAAAATGAAACGAATAATGACAGTGAACGTGTGCAGGAATGCATTGAACCAGACAAGTTGAAGACAGGTGTATGTATGTGCATATGAATGTATGTATATACATTAGGGTGGGAGAAAATGATTTTAATGTTAAGCTCCCACCACTACGATTTTTCTAAATGGAAAAAAGAAAACCCGTATTTTTTTGTAAAACTGCCTCAGAGACCATGAAGTTTTCCATGTTTTTTATAGGGACATATTATAGAATTATTGAAAATCAATATTTTTCCCTCGGAAAACACTGTTTATTTTCGGGAGACTTTCAATAATAATTCCCATTTGTTTATTTTACAATTTTTGAATACTACTTAACAATATTTTTTGGGTCCGCCATTGCATTTTTTAGGGTTTTTGTGGGACCTTAAAAATTATATAATATTAAAAACTGGTTAAATAAACAATTGGGTATTGTTATTGGAGGTTTCCTGAAAAGTAAGTGTTTTTTCCACATATAAAATACATGGAAAATTTCGTGCGCTTTGTGGCAGTTCTAAATGGCATCCGTTTTAAAAACAAAATTTAGAAAATTCCAAGGAGTTAGAGCTTAACATTTGAAACATGTTTTTTTTTTGGATCACCTTAATATGTATAGTATATATGTATATATCTAAACATACACAAATAAGCTAATCATATGTTCGCTTGTATGTAGTACGTATGTATAAACATATATAAGTAATCGAATGTAGACCAAGTGCGCTGGCTAGTATATGGCAACGACCGACAAGTCGACCAACCAACCAGTCAATCGATCGAACATGTGATGATGATACGAGTACATACCATTATTGTGAGGCAAACTGAGCTTAGTAACATTCACTTTTATGGGGTTAACAAAATAGTGATGTACATGTACATATATTTAGATACATGTATGTATGTATATATGTACATATACATACAGCTATGTATAATAAAAGTAGGCTACTGAAATTAGGTTAGAACTGATATTTGGGTTTAAGTAGAGATTGAATTGGAATGAAACCGTTTAGAGTGGAGCAGCAACGATTTAACCGAAGAAGACGAATAATAAGAAAAAGTGTAGAAGGAAATGAGAATAGCACAGAAAACAATTAATAAAAATGAAATTATAAAAATGGGCAGCACTCAATTTTGCCAGCTTACAAAATGTCACCGGTGTTGCCAACTCGATGTACTTGAATGAAAACGAGAGTTCTTGGTTATTTGCATAAGCGTGCGAAGGCAAGCGAACGGAGGAAGTGAAACAGCAAATGACAAAGGCATACATACATACCTATGTACATACATACATAGTATGTAGGTACATTAGACTGCATCACCAAAAAAAAGTTGCGTTTTTCCGCCGGGATTACGAAATTTATTATATTTTATGACTTCCACCGAAATATTTCTGAAAAATATTCGGATTTACGTGAGCTGGACCAATTGGAATATACCTCCAAAAATGGAGGCTTTTATGAATAAAAATAGTTTCTTAAAGAATTTTTTGGAAAAAATCCCCTCAGATGACAAAACAGGTTAAGCTTTAAAAATCTACATAAAAATATTCAAACATTTTTTCAAAGGAGTTATAAACGATTTTTTAATGTTGTTTTTTATATTTTTTCAAACATTTGTTTAAGAAAAACTGGGCCAAAACTATAACGATATAGTCTTGTCAGGTATCAGTGGAAAGATATTTTCATATTTTCTCACCCTTTCCAATTCCTTGAAAAACTCATTCACATCCCAATTTTTTCTTTATCAAATACCAACACATTTTAATTCAACATGCAATGAGACTCTTTTGTCTTACCTTTCTCTTTCATGCTTTGAATGAGCTTATTTGCAAAGAAATAAAAAGGTGGGAAAATTCCTTTCCAATGATACCTTATAAGTCTGAATCGGTAAAGTTTAGGCTGAGTTGTTCAAGTTCTTTTTTTTTTAACCAGTCTTTGAAAAACAGTACCGATTTTTTTTTGTATGGGGGGATGCAGTCTAATGTACATATAACATTTGTTCATACATTTTTTGCGTATGCAAAAGACTTATTTGTTTAGAGTTGACTTCAAGAGGCAGAATAAATAAAAAAATTTAAAAAATATTTCACACGTCTGCAAATATGAAATCTAAATTTATTCATTTACTTTTAACTACTGTTTTAAATTAGCAAAAATTAGCAGCTAACAGAGTTTTTTGACTTGTCGCATTATATCAAAATTGATGGCTTGAATTTATGAGCAACAAATGTCAATACAATAAAAAGTTGGACACCTAAGCAATAGATGACAAAATATTAATTCGAGTGGTTGATAATAATATATAATATTTTGGTGCTTACAATTTTGCTAAAACGACCGGTGTTAGAAAAAACAGTTTCTAATTAAAATGTTGCTTGGACCAGAGAACCGACCAAGACCCTACGGAGTAGTACACTGAGAAAAGAATTAAGTTATGTCAACTAAATATGTTTTCCTCAACACATGATTCGGTTATAGTTATATTATTTGGTTATAGTTATCAAAACATGTGTTGAGAGAAATTTATCCTTTTACTCAGAAAAAAGTCAGCTGTGTAAATATATTTCTCCCAAAACATGATTTGGTTATGTAACAACATATCAACTATTTTCCTCGCACAAAAGATCGCTGCTGCACGAACCCCCAGAACTGCGAGTATGAGTCGATTAGCACTACATCGTTTCTTCAAAATATCCTGAAAAGGGTGACAGACGCACCCATCAATTAAAAAGTAGCTTGCAAAGCATATAGTCAAAGGTAAAAAAAAAAAATCCATAAGGTTGTTATTCGAATCGAGGTAGCCATTGAGAATATATAATTCGCGTTTGAATATACCCAAGACTTTCGAAATATGCGAGGAGTGACGCAGACAAAGCTTCAGCTTACACTTGAGAACAAGATAAGCTACATGTTTAGCTGTAGAAGTGTTTCTACACACTGAGGATTGCCTGAGACCACTGAACCGATCTACGAAGATACGCCACAGGGGAGCGTATTAGCGCTAGCACTACTTTGCACGATGGCGGCCAACGAGTAACTCAAGGAAATGAAAGGAGGTCTTGCTGAGCTCGCTGCTTATGCAGATGAAGGCTTCCTCACAGTAAGCTCATTCATGAGCCAAGCGCTATGAGGTACACACCTGTGGATAAGCAAAGAACACCAGTGATCGGCAGGACATAGCTTACTGATCGCTCTCTGAGCACATGTGTGTTTCCCACGTACACGAACAGCACGCATGTAAAGAATGTTTCCTAAGGTCAAGGAGTACTCCAAAATTTACCGAAATACATACATATAAAAAATGTGGTCCAAATAACATTGCGATGCCCTAAAGAAGGACCACATACTCCAGCTCTGCATTACATCAGAGTAGCACAAAACTACTCCAAGGGGTTACTCCATGCAGTACCTACCCGTAGGAAACATATCCCAATAACCATCGTTAAAACACGAACAATAATCGGGTAACAATAAGCCTGTGTAGAGACACGAGTTGGGCCGCTACTGTATTACAGAGCAGGGCTCGAATCGTAACATCCGTTCATGGATTGGAAACCATACGAAAGAAAATTACGTGATACGTCAGTCGTATAAGCTGAACGGGATAAAGAGTACGTTCCCGTATATCATAAACCGAAAAATGTGTCTTTAGGTGACGAGTAATACGATATCGTATGTGAAGATTCGAGCCCAGAATTTCGTAATGACTCCAATATGGCACAAATGGACTCCATGTTCCAATGCAGGGTATTAAGTTATCTATTCGAAATGGTCATACGAGGAAATTCTCAAAATAATTGTGGAGCTGTAACGGTATAAATTAGCCATGTTTATATGATCTTCGCTTTTCACACAGCATCGCACAAATGCAAAAAATTAAAAAAAAAAATCCACCGAGTGGTTTAACCCCATAAGTGAGCTCTTGGGCCTTCTCTCCAAGCGAATTTCTTTGGAAATATTTTTAAATATAAAAAAATTTTAAAGATTTAATGAAGAACTTAATAGTAAAATAAAACATTTTAACTAACCTTTTAAACTTTCAGTGTTATCGTCGCAAATATATTTGGCTTTTGTTTTTTAAAAAACTTTTGCTTTATGGCAATTAAATTTCGACAATGCCACAAGTTAGACTTGTCGTTGAGTTAGGTTGTTGTTTTTATTTTTAAATCGTAGAAATTAAACACACACACTTACTCACTGATGTAAGTCACATTTCAAATAGAAAATTTTCGTATTTATTTTGGATTTTTAGTAAATTGGATAATTCGACGGCACAAACATTAGCACCTAGCTGCACACTGATGAATTTTCGAAATAGTATTGCGTTTTGGTCGCTTTGATTAAGTTTATTTATGTTGTTTGCACTTTGTTAATTATGTACATACGTATGTATATGAGTATATAAAACTTTGTTTGCTTGATTTTCGTATTTCAATTTGTGTGGCTATACTATGCAATATTGCAAACGCACTTTCGCTGTACCTATTTATTTTTAATAATTGTTTTTTTTTCGTATATATTAGTAGTTATTTAGTATGGCACCAACGCATATAAACTAAACCACACTTCGTCTTTTGGCTGTAAGTAAAAAAATGCGCTATTAAAAAATTTTGAATAACATATTCCTACTGACTATTTTTAAAAATTTGTTGTAGAGATTAAAATTTTTTTATTTATTTTTTTTTATTTATTTTTTTTTTATTAATATGTTTTTTAGACGGCAAGTTATTGTGCTTGTAGTTGTGTGTTAGCGTGCGCGCGCATTTCTAGAGCAATTTGCGCACATGTGTCAGATTTGGAAAAGCCATCCATCAGCCAAAGAAAACTATTTGTCGATTCGTCATTAGTACCTACCCAAAGTAAAACCCCAAAATTTTTCTTGTATTGCTTATTTGTTGACAAACTTGCTGGCATTGAACTTGAATTGTCATAAAGTATTACAAATCGTTACCTAAAAGTGAAAAGGTAATAAGTCCATTTTTTTAAATTGTTCAGGAGACACGAAAAATCGATGTAATATCGCATTATCTATCATTCTGCATCAAAAACTAAACTTTGAAAGAAAAGCTGACTTGGCACCCTTTCTCCTATGGGTAGCGATATTTGTTTGAATATCGGCCATACGAAATTGCATTGCAATATTCAAGAAGGCAATAGCAGCATTATATTGTTGTAGCGGGTCCACAGGCAGCTGGAAATATTGGGGAGCTGGTCTAATTGAAAACAGTGGGACACTTCGAACCGCTCCTACCCCCTGCGCGTAATTTCCCGATGGTAAAATTTCTCGTATATTCCATATTTAAAACAGAAAGTGACCCAAATTTGTGCAAAGGGCCCTAGAAAACTGCACACACTGAGCAAAAAAATTAATTTAAAAAACTAAATTTTGCGCAGCCGTGAAATCAATAGCCGCGCTTAAAATGTTTTATTCGCACACGCAGTTGAAGTCATTTATTTAATATGTGTAAAGAACTGAACCGCTCAGGAACAATTTACTACGAGAGCGTGCAACTGCTGGCTTATGCCGATAACATCGATATCATCGGTACCAAAAACCGCGAAGTCTGTTCTGCCTTTTCCAAGTTGGATAGGGAAGCAAAGCGAATGGGTCTGGTGGTAAACGAGGACAAGACGAAGTATCTCCTGTCATCAAACAAACAGTCAGCACATTCGCGCCTTGGCACCGACGTCACTGTTGACAATTACAATTTCGAGAAAGTAGAGAATTTCGATCACTCAGCATTGAAATCCAAAGCAGAACCACTCTTGCCAACGAGTGCTACTTTGGACTGAGTAGGCAATTCAGGAGTAAAGTCCTCTCTCGACGTACGAAAACCACGCTCCATAAGTCACTCATCATGCCCGTGCTGTTATATGGCGCAGAAGCATGGACAATGAAAACATCCGATGAGGCGGCTCTTGGAGTATTTGAGAGAAAGATTTTGCGGAAGATTTACGGGCCTTTACACGTTGGCGACGGCGAGTACCGCAGACGATGGAACGATGAGCTGTATGAGCTTTACAACGGCATGGACATAGTGCAGCGAATTAAAATACAGCGGCTCCGCTGGCTTGGCCATGTCGTTCGAATGGACACCGACGCCCCAGCTCTGAAAGTATTCAACTCGGAACCCGCTGGTGGTAGCAGAGGAAGAGGGAGGCCCCCACTGCGATGGAAAGATCAGGTGGATAAGGACTTGGCGTTTCCAATTGGCGTCAGTTGGCACAGAGGAGAAACGACTGGCGTGCTTTGCTGAACTAGGCCAAAATCGCTTAGGCGGTTACAGCGCCAAAAAAGAAGAAGAAGATATGTATATACACATTCATATGTATGTTCATATATTGGATTTATATATATTCTTTTTTATAGCATTTGCTACTTGCTAAAATTGTATTTTCATAGCTGTTTCTTATTTGACTGTTTTTAGTATTCAAATAATTTGTTTTTATATATTTTGTGTTTATTCTTTCCCTTGAATATCGCGGTACAACTGCTGTTTAAATACCCAATATTGTGCTAGTCTTAGATAAAAAGGTTGTTTTGTCAATACATAGACGTTTTATTTTTTGAAAAAGTTTCAATGGATCTATTAATATGAATCATCTTAAGGCGTATGCTCATAATTGAATAAGTATTAATACAGTGGTCGAAAAAATTATAGCCGCACCATATATTGACAAGTCTTCACAATTAATATATTTTTTTAATTCAATTTTAATTATTTTTTATAAAAATACAGTTCGCCCCTTAATAAAAACTAAATAAAATAAAAATAAACTAACTGTTTTTTATTTTTTTTGTATTGTTAAAAAAATCATTCATTTTAATTGGATAAAAAATTTACGCATTTTGGTTTTGAAATTAATTTTAAGACTTTTTCGAAATAAATTTCAATTTTAAAGCTTGTTTGTCGAATTTGCATTCTCATTGGAAGAAAAACGCTTTTTTAATATTTTTTTAGGACGGAGCTTTCTTACACTTAATTTTTAAAATAAATGTTTTCTAGTTAATTTAGTAGGCATAAATTAATTTAGATTTGGAAATTTAAAAATATTTTACTAAAATAAGTTCTTTTCCATATTTATATTTTATTGTATTTCCAAATATTTTATATTAAATTTCCAAAATTTAAATTTAATGAACATATTATCGATACCAAATTTTTTTGATCGTGGCAGATTCTTTCTTGATATTTAAATTTTTACCAGTTTAATCTTTTTTTCAAAATAAATTTCGATTTTGAAGTTTTTTGTGTTAGAACCAAAGTAAATTTTCACCCTTATTGGAAAAAAATGTGTTTCTTCTAGAATCCTTTAATATGGCACTTTTTTCTTGTTTACATAATTTTTTAATTTGGTTCTAAGCCTTAAATTGAAATTTTTTATCTCATACTGTTACCAAGAAAATTAAAAAAATCACTTCTAAGTTTTTCGATTTTTTTTCGTCATCAAAATTTTTTTAAATTGTAATGGGAGAACTATGCACCTGGAAGTCTGGACTCTCTACAGGGAAGCTATCTATATCTAACACCTGGATGTCAGAAAATGCAAAACCCCGTATGTGAGGTTGCGCAAATTTTATAGGAGAGGGTTGTCTTATTTCAAAACGGTTCTCTCTTTTATCCCTAATTATCTCTTCTTCTTATATCTAAGTATCGATATTTTAGTATGAATGGATAAGGGATTGAGGCCAGGAGCTTCCGGTGAGCAAATATCTTTCTGGCACAACTATCACTGACAAATGCCAAACGACGGGTCCAAGATGCATTCTTATGGGATCCACGATCGGCTCGTAGTACCAGAAACCAGCATCCAAACATCTACAAAGCCACTTGAATGACCCCTCATCAAAGAACATCGAACCAAATCGATCACGTTGTGGTAGATCGAAGATACGCTACATTCTTGACGTTCGCTCCATCCGAGGAGCCAAAATCGACTTGTTGCACCTAGGAGATCTACATGCAGCTCAGTGCTATAAAGAACATGTGTCACACACCGCGATGAAATTTTAATGTCGAAAAGCTGCATCCACAATGGACAGCCGAGAAGTTTCTCAATAGACTCTCAGTCGCGCATAACACTCTTTCACCTTATTAATATTGCCTATAAGGCCCTTACGACGATATGGTGTGCAGGACTGAAACCTTTCATAAACCAACTGATTGGGATTTAGCTATCAATGTGGCTACAGACCTAGAAAATTTACCATTGACCAGATCGTTAGATTCTGTAAAGCGCAAGAGATAAGAAAATCATTACGCATCACCGTTTCTGTGATTTAAGAGCCACTTTTGGTAGCACGAAGACAAGCTGCCCGTAGCGTACCATGTTTACGCAAATTCCGTAATACAGTTATGTACAGTGACGTTGAGTCCAACCTTCAGCTCCGTCTAAATTGAGAAGGCGCTCTCTGCACTTGTAGGTAAGGCGACTCATTGTGTGAATGCTTCAAGCCGTGATTGGACACTGGTGCTACTTTGCGCTCCGTAATGACGATTTGCTTTTATAAAACAGCTGGAACGTTTATCCATGTCGAATGAAAATGAGTAAATTTTGTGGATTTTTATTCGCTTGTACCCACATACATATGCAAAGATGGCGCTAACTTAGAATACACTTCGTACGCAAGGTTGTGGATGGTGCGATAAAGAGGTTCTCTCCATTTGCACATTGGAAGTACCAAGGGTAGAGGAATTTGTTTACCGAAAGACCTTTCTGAACATTTTACGAATGATTGAAGGTAGTTCGCAAAGAAGATTGGCGATTGCCGTTGCAGTTCGAGCCAAAATGTCTTCATATTAGCTTCTCGAATGCTTGGCTGTCTAATAGAAAGTGTTGTGACCGCCCCAGGCTAGTAGGATCTGCGCATGTTTTAGTTTCAGCCCCGCGCTTGCTAAGCTTACATGGGGCCCAAACGTCCACGAGTGAACCGCAGATGGACAGAGGCATCCCTAGCTGCTCCATACCCGGTGATAAAGATGGCTGTGTGCCAAGTTTTTCTTGATATTTTCCCAACTAAGCTTACCAAGAAAGAAAAGAAGTGTTAATACTAATCAAGGAAATGTAAAGACTACTTCCAAAGCTCAATTAGTATTTAATTTTTTATTTTAAAATTATTAAGACATTGAGTTGTATCTCCGTTTGTACTTTTTGTTGAAAGTAGCACTAAAGGTTCTTTATTTTTGTTTAATTTTAGCTGTTACAACCATTCATTTTTAATTAGTCAATTAGTTCAGCGTCGTTTTTTTTGGTTTTGATGTTTCAATTTCATCATGCTTTACAATTTATTAGCCACAACAAATTTTTTATGATTTTTATTGTCACATAAAACACGAAATTAACACACTTTATTATATGATATGTATATTTTGCTTTGAGTAGCACAAAGAGCATTTTAACGTTTGTTAGTAAAAAAGAAAAACAATTTTTTTTTGTAAGTCAAAAATTTGTGCAAAACTCATGTGCGTATGCTTGTTCCTATAAACGCGCACAAAAAAACGAATATTGAAATGACGACCCGCCACTTAACTCGCAGCCTTTCACAGTTCTACGAAAAAATTGTTGACATTTGTTGTGCGACTTTGCGAATTTCAACTTTCAGAAAATGCGCTAAATATAACTTGTAAGTATTTTGGTGCTCATTTTCAGCTTCTACATAGCTATACTACGCTACTTGTTTAAAGCACGCACTCGAAAGTTTTTTTAATTATTTTTTTAATTTTATACTTTTCAACTTTTTTAATTTCATTCCTCTTCCTAAATTTTTTCGCAAATAAACTTTTCTGTTCTCAATTCTTTCTGCACTCGATTTTTCGCTGCTACTTTTTTACTTTTTGTTTTTGTGTAACTGCATTCACTTTTAATTTATTGTTATTGCTTTAACGGTATCGGCACCTTTTTAGCACACAAGATGTACCGAAAATGTCAACAACAACACGTTGACGCGCGCGCAGGTATGTATGTAGTAACTAAGTAAGCGACAAACGCAGGAAATGCAATCTTCAGCAATGCTGCAGTGCGCAAAACTGACGACAGCTAATTTAACGCAAGAAAATAGTAATAACTGAAGGCAACATACTCAAAAAAAAAAAACTATTAACAAAAAGCAACCAACTTCATTGGCGAAGACGCACACGAAAAAGAAATATCGGCGACAAACGCGCGCGCGGCAACAACTTTTTACTGCACTCTATTTTGCAAGAGCTCGCGGATAGAAAGGAAAATGCGCATACCCCTCTGGTTGCAATAGTTGTGCACTTCGCGTTTCCTTACACGTTGTTTTTTTACACGAATACTTGACTTTTCCGCTTTTCAAACTTGACTGTGGTTTACTTCTTGCCTTTTGTGATTTTACTTGGCTTTGACTTTTTTTACTTGTTTGTAGTACACTCGCTTCGATTCGTTTATTGCAGCACCACGTTTGACTGGACGGCGAATTTTCTCGCGTTCACGTTGCGTTCTGCGCAAATGAAAAACTTGAACTGATCGGAAATTTCGCCGTTAACGTCTCAACAAGACAAACAGCGCGCGCACCAGCCCAGGCAAGACACACTCGCAGACAGCGAGCAGTCTCAAATACAACACACACACACACATACACATGCGCGCGCCAACAACGAAACGACAAAGCGAACTACAACAAAAGTGCGCAGAAGGCAAGAGACAAGATCGAGGTAGCACCGCGACGCTAGCAAACAACTGCGTCAGCAATTGCTGTTCGATCGAGCGCATCGCCGCGCTATGCTGCGCCGCCTTTGTGACCTGAGAAGGAGCACCAAACGATAGATGCATTGGACCAGCGGTGGTGGAGCGCGCGTTCAAAAACATAGTCGCTTAGAGAGCGCCAAGTAGTGAAGGAGCATAAGGTAAAAAAGTGGTAAATCTGGAGGTAGGAACAGAAGCCGCAAAAGAAGCATAATAAAGGGCAAACTCCTATAGAATGAAGAGAAGCCGCGCGGTAAAATCGATATGCGACTGTTGAAGACAGGGCGCGCGCAAAAGCGGAGAAGCCAAGGAAGCAACTCTGGAAGGTAACACAAAGTCGCAGCAGCAGGCAATAGGGCGCAAACACGATTTGTGAATCCGTGGTGTAGCTATGGCCGTGCGTCGTTGGCTGCGCGGCGCGATCAAGCGACGAGAGACTCGTTGCGCTGGAAATTAGGCGATCGCTATGTTCTTAGTTCATAGCTTTTATTATTATTTTTCTCTTTTTTTTTTAAACTAAACGGTTAATAAAACATTTTATTTGCTCGCAATCGCGCTTCATATAATTTTATTACTCACTATAGGCGCGTCGAAGTGCTGATAACACAGGTATAAAGCGTACGAAAATTACGTTTGTATGTACATATGTAGCCATGTACGCGCCGCTGAATATAAACATACATATTTAGAAATGGAACTGGAACAAAAAAATTGCGCTCTCATCGAAAATTGAGCAAACATTGAGGTGCGTTGCAGTCGCAGCATAAAATGCATTCACACACAGAAAGCTCGCACCAATTGGCATTGTTGAAATACACGCACACTCGTATGTAAGTGCAAACATACATACATAAGTGCATATTTATGTATACATACATATATAGTATATTCCAGTTAGCTTCTCGTGCATTCAAGGAAGTGCACTCGGATGCGCACGAAGTCAGGTGTGTGTTGCTAAAATTAGTACAGTGGTTTCAAGTTTGAGAAAAATAAGCAGAATTTTCGAATTGACAACAAGAAACAAAAAACCCAAAAATGAATAAAAATAAAAAACTAATAACGATTGTGGTAATGGTAATCGAAATGGTAATGGTAATCGAAGTGGGAATGGTAATCGGAATGGTAATGGTAGTAGTAATGGTTATGGGCATTGGTATGGTTGCTATAACAATTCTGGCAATGTCTATGGTAATTGCAGATATGATAATGGTATTTATAATAGCAATGACAGCAGTAATTTTAAAGGCAATGGTATTAGGTAAGTTAATGGTAATCATAATGGCACTATTAATGGTAATGGCAATTGTAATAGTAATGGTAATCATTGCCATTAGTGGTAATAGAAATTATTACGTGCGTAGGTATGGTAGTGGTAATATTTATGGTAACTTTAATAGTAGTAATGGTAATGACAGTGGTAATTTCAGCGGTAAGGCAATGATGATGGTATTTGAAATTTTGAAGGTAATCGTAATGGTAATGAGTATAATTGGTATAATAGTAATTGAAATACACAACAATGGTCATGATAGTGGTAATGGGAATGATTATGGACTTCGGCATGGTAGTGGTAATTGATATGGCAATGACAATTGTCAAAGCAGTAATGGTAGTGGTATTGATAAAGACAGACTATACTTTCCCGAAGGTTTTCGGTACGCTGAATTCAAATTTGACCCCAGAATAGCCCTATCACGTCAGGTGTTCGACATATTCTAACTTAAAAGTACAAAATTCTCGGTTTTTGGCACATTTCAGCACCTGTAACACGATGAAAATTTTTTTTTCAGAAAGATCAGCTCGTTATCTAAAAGTACTACTCCTCCCTTCCAAAATTCATTTCGACTTCTCGGTGATAAATAAAGATTTTTTAAAGCAGTAAAATTAATTTTGAAGGGAAGGAAACGTCTTTTAAATAACGAGATGATCTTTCTGGAAAATTTTTTTTTCATCGAGTTACAGGAGCTCAAATGTGCCCAAAAACCGTGATTTTTGCACTTATAGGTTAGAATATCTCAAAATCCTGTGCATGTGATAGAGCAATTCTGTGGCCAGATTTGAATTCAGCGCACCGAAAACCTTCGAAAGTATAGTCTGGTTTCTGGGTAAGGAGATCGGTCTTATTTTGTCGGCCTGACGCTTCACATATTGGCTAAGTACATGGCCGATCTTCTCCTCCAATTTTCGTTGTGAGTCATAGTTTTTAAAAGAAACGGCGGTTGTCGCAGAGTTATCTAGCTTTGGTAAATTGATTCTGTCTTTGCGGTATCGCCTAAAAAACGCTATTTTGGCTAAGTACATGGCCGATCTTCTCCACCAATTTTCGTTGTGAGTCATAGTTTTTAAAAGAAACGGCGGTTGTCGCAGAGTTATCTAGCTGTTGGTAAATGGATTTCGTCTTTGCGGTATCGCCTGAAAAACGCTATAAGGGTTCGGAAGTCCCATGTTTAGCTTCAGTAAAAGTAAGAATTCTGCTACCGACCTTACTGATCAGCTTTAAGTTTACAGTAAAAATGGTCACAAACCTGGTATTACCATTCAGTACGGCAAAAGCTATATTTTCTAGAGACTAAATTAAGAAACTTTTCAGGTATTCGTTGTCGTGATAGATTTTGGCGATGCAACAGGCATGAAGCTTTTTATGGGTTCAAAGGAAGATGATAGAGAAGAAATTCAAAAACCTTACGGGTGGTGACAGCCAGTTCTCTCGTATTTGACATGTAACTTTCAAGGGACAGGGAATGTTCCATAAAAGTTCGCCAAAGCTTTTAAGATTGAAATAGGAACTTACGCACTCCGTAGTGGTACCTTTTCTAGGCTGCTAAAGGCGACTCGATCCTGTATTTATTCTCGTAAGTACAGGTACGACCCGAAACACAGGGAACCCAAAGTCGAATGGTTCAAGAGTGTGTTGCGCATTATGAAACTCCTTTACCAGTTTTGAGGTCACCAAATAAGATCCGAGGATTTCAAAAGCCGCTTGGGTGTGCATCAAAATTGCAATGTTCTAGTTTAGACAGTTGCGCTTGATGTTAAGGGCCGCACCTATTTCTAAGACACATACATATGTAGGTATATCTGCTGGTAAAGTGAACATCTATTATCCCAAGAGTTCTGAGCATCTTAGCTTCGGACGAAGCCCCTTGGACGACCCTGACGACCTAGAACTACTAGGTCTGACAAAAGACTTGGCTGGATTTAAAAAAACATACATATGTATGTAGAAAGATAATTTGATCAATCGTCTTACATATTTACAAACTGAATACATATAGTATGTCGGTAGTAGACAAATTTCACACAATTTTCTTTAGATCAAACCACTGTTGCCGAGACAAATGAGGCCGTTCGCGTCAAAACAAAACAAAAGTATTACAACAAAAACAATTGCTTATGCTATTTTTATGCGCCAATTTCGTACGCTACGTTCCGATTTCGAAAATGCGCGATTTGTGTATTAGGTACATTAGTGGCAACAATAAAAAGAGAAACCAAAACAAAACAACTTACTTATGCATTTGCGTTAGTGCTGAGCTATGTGTGTAATTTAACAAAGTTAAAATTGCAAAGTTTGCCATAAAAATTAGCACTCTTCCACTCTCGCCTAACCGGGCTATCTCTCTCCGTCTCTCTGTACCGCTGAAATGTGCGCTCACCAACATTATGCTCGTTATTTAATTAAGTCTTTAACCATGTGTGAATTAAAAACTCGTTTTCAACTAACAACAGACGATGATGATCATCATCACGAGTTGTGTCGATCATGGTGCTTTGATGGTATGGAAGAGACTACATAAACATTTACAATTTATGAACATGCTAATAAAGATGTCTGCAATTTATGATCGGCTATGTTGTAAAAGTTCATACATACATATATGTGTTTTTGTGATCGCTTTAATCAGCTGTGCTCGGCAACAAAATTGTACACAATTGAGAGACTACACACTTTAATTCACCACTGAATGGGCGAATCTATCCCTCACTGACAGCTCTCCCATTGAACGCTCTCCAAATAATAACACACACTCGTTACGAAAATAGCAAAGTATATGGAGAACAAGCTCCAACTAAACTTATTTCTTTCAAATTATTTAGGCCAGTCAAACTCATCTAGTTGCAAATGTGTTCGGATAAACTATACGTTCTCTCTCAGCTGCATTTGACGCGAATTGCAGTAGCAGCTTTCAATTCAATCACCGTCGACTACAACGACTACGGCAACGCCGACGGTGACGACGCCTTTCATGCCTGGATTGCGCGCCTGCGCAATGAACTTGTTTATATTTTGTGCACGTTTCGACTGTGAGACGCCAGGGGGCACGCTTTGTCAATGCACTTTGTCTGTGCAAAAGTCAAAATGCGCTTGCAAGCAAAGGTGTAGTGAACGACG